AATCCGGTTTTTAAACCATTGGGGTGACCGCATTTATTTTATTGACCAAGCTCAAAGTTCAAACAGAATTTTTCGAAGTTTACAGCACACCCAAGCTATCTGATTTCACATCAATGTTTGCAACACACCCAAGCTATCTGATTTCGCATCGAATGGTTATAGCTTATAAATAATTGTAACTTCCATGTACTAAAAGTAAATGGTTTCATTGTATACGATCACATAAAATACTACGAGAGACCAATGTTTCAACTACCTCATTGTAAAAAAATTTCAATGGAAAAGTATATTAAAGGCTTTTTACCTTTGGTACAAGGTGGTTATATTTAATATTGACTACTAAATGTGAAATTGAGTGTTTATATTTATTTTATTAACCAAGCTCAAAGTTCAAATGAAATTTTCTCAAACTTTATGAGACAAACATTCTCTTAAATTTCACATTAGAAGATTGTTAGTAATTGTGACCCCCCTATACCGAAGGTAAATAGCCTCATTGTATACTGTCATTTTGAAAACCCCTTTAACACATATTAATCTCAATTGAAAAACAATTCCTAATTGCGCCGCCCTCCAAGCACTTAAAAAATAAAACGTTTTATGATTGAAAAACTAATCCCAAGAACAAATGGAATAGATATTAAGAGTCCCAGATTTTTTTAAGTCTTCTCCAATAAAACAATACGTATCATCATCAGCCTTCATAACCTTGCAAACATGAAAACAATGGCATAGCTAAGTGAAAAGATTGCACACACCATACGGTCTGATTCCTGTGCGCATTGCCTCAAAGTCTTCGACAAAAGTAGTGTTGCATGATATGAAGGTTTAATTACCAAATCACATTTCTTTTTTGGTTAGTTAATAACAAAATCACTTTCTAGCATATTCGTGGTCCTATAGGTTATGTTTCAGGAAGGATCAAATAATGTAGTTTTATATTCTAAGAGAGATTCAGCAAGGGTACTTATCATTTGTAGGCTAAGTAACAAAGATAAAAATGGTTAGGCTGATTCTTAAAAGCTCCTTCCATTTACTTCAAAAGAATACCTTAGAATATAGAGGCTCAAATGTTCAAGAAACTTCTTTTTTTTTTTTTGCTTCTAAGGAATAAATTCTAAATTATTACATGGAAAATCTTCTTAACATATCTGATTTTAATAAAAACGAGAAATTTATATAGAGCCTAGGCTCTAAACAATCAAATTTGAGCCTACCTAAAAAAGAAGATGTTGATTTGATACCCAAATATCTTCAAATTGATCATAGTCTATTTTAGGCACTGATGATTTTATTTTATTTCTTCATAGTTCATCAGTGCATAAAATAGACAGCAACACAAGATTGAACAATGGTCAAGATAACAAACAATGCAGGTTAATCTGAGGTCTGAGCAGAGTTTAGTATAGTAAATTAATCAAAGTCACACATTAGATGCTCCACTCAAACCGTCTTAACTAAAAAAAGGCGAAATTTGCACAAACCTAAAAGTTTGAATAAAACCAGCACCCCCAATTTCACCACAACGTAACATAAATAACAGATATAAATAAGAAAAGGGAAGTTGGAAATGAATTAACAGGGCCTTCAATCCAACAACTTCATTCAATATCCCCAAAATCAATTAAATTTCGTTTCTTCAATAAACCACCACGAAACTCCAAAACTTTTCAACCCAAAATACAAAAGCCCCAAATGTACCTAACCTCCATCACAGAAACCCTACAAAAGGTCAAAAAACCAAGAAACAAAGCTAGAAATAGGAGAAAGAAGATATGAGCGAGATACAGTGTTATAATAGATGAGAATTTACATCACTAAAATCTAGGAACCATAGACCAAACCCTAGCCACCAAAGCCATAGAGGGTGCGGCCTTGGCGCTTTAGGGCATAGACCACATCCATGGCGGTCACAGTCTTCCTACGTGCATGCTCAGTGTAGGTAACAGCATCCCTGATAACATTTTCAAGGAAAATCTTAAGAACGCCTCTGGTTTCTTCATAAATAAGACCACTGATACGCTTCACTCCTCCCCTTCGAGCCAAACGACGAATTGCAGGCTTGGTGATCCCCTGAATGTTATCGCGAAGCACCTTCCTGTGCCTCTTCGCTCCACCCTTTCCCAGTCCCTTACCTCCCTTTCCTCTTCCCGACATTTTCTCTCTCTATAAACCTAGCTTTCTCTCTCTAAACTTTCAGAAATGGCGAAGGGAAAATGATATTGGATCTGGTTTTAATATGGCGAGTGAGTGATTTGTGGCCGTTGGATTGTTAGTCAATCCAGGTGAAGACGAGGGGCTCTTTGGGGACTGTTGGATTGGTTTTGGTAGCCTGTGATTGGTGGGTTTTGGTTTCGAGAGGTGCTACGGATTCAGTTAGGGTGCTTAAGGTAGCGATTGCCCTTGTTTTCTTCACTAATGACGTTTTAGTCTATTTCTGACAATCCTTGGGGCTTAAGCGGGTGTGTTTGTTCGCTGCGAGAGATTTCGAGTTTTTTTGGATTTTGTCTCGTCAAAGGGTGGGTGTCGTTAAAATGGTATTTGATTGAATAGATAAGGGTAGTTTGGATCTTGTGCAGTGGGATGGATTTTGTGATTAGATGGGATTTCGGCCCAAATTCGTTTAAATGCGGAACATCTAAAATTTCGGTCGAAATCAAGTGAACGGGATTATTGGTTTATATAACTGCGAGGCTCTAAACAATTATTCACTCTTTGGGGTAAAAATGTGACCTTCAAAAAGTGAATAATAATTTCAAAACAATTATCTCGAGGCTTTTAAATCAGGGTTTAAAAAATCGTCGAGTCGAGCCAGACTCACTCGGTTTGACTCGGGAATTGCCTGAGTCCGAGCCGGTTCCACTAATAAACCGGAATCGCCCGAGTCCAGAGAGAACCGTGCGATTCCCAACGGTAACTCGCGAGTCAGACCGAGTCACCTGCAAGAACACGGGCTACACAGTATTCTTCACGGGATTTCAATATTTTTTGTTATTTTGTCATCGATTTTCAACTTTTTCAGCCGTATGAACGAATCTTGCAGGCTTTAATTCAAATTTCTCATTCATTTGAGTCAATAAAACGAATTAAAAAGCGCCGTTTGGTATCAACATATTTGGATCGAAGAGTGAGTTTTAGGGTTTCCGCCATTTCACTGATTTCAAACGAAATAACGCATCACTTTTTGTAAAATTTCAAGGTGAGTGGTCGTAGGAGTGTTGGTCAAAATTTTTGTTCATAATTTGTGATTATCTTGGAGGAATACATATCAATTTTGAGTTTGAGGGCACGGGTACATGACAAACAGGTAAGAACTATTTTTTTTTTTTTTTTTCAGCCATGCGATCAAATTCAGTCAATATTTTTGCAAATCCTGTATTAAATTTATAGGGTTTTGATTTGTTGCAGTGTTGTTTATCGTCACATGTATTCAATTTGATTATATTTATTCAATTTGAGTTGGATTTTTGAAAAAAAAACTTTGATGTCTGTTAAAAAAATATGGACGGACTTTTTTTTTTTTTTCCGCCATTCTCTCAATTTTAGTAAATATTTTGCAAATAATGTGTTGAATTTATAGGGTTTTCATTCGTTATAGTGTTGTTTATCATTACACGTATTTAATTTTATCTGATTTATTTAATTTGAGCTTGATTTTTTAGATTGAATGATTGATGTTTGTGAAGAACTGTGTTTTTTTTTTTTTCCTCAATTCAACCGATTTTATTTGATATTTTGATAATAATGTGTTAATATTATAGGGCTTTGATTTCCTATAGTGTTGTTTATCAAAACATGTATTCAATTTGATGTAATTTATTCGATTTGAGGCGGATTTTTTAGTTGAAATGACTGATGTTAGGTTGGTATGTGAAGAACTGGGTTTTTTTTTTATTATTAATGTTTTTGAGAAATATTGATTTTTCGAAAAATTATTTTTGATTATCATGAAGAATTAAACAATATTTTTAATTTTTATTTTTAACTTTCTAGTTCAAAAAATTGCATGTTGATAGATTATTCATGCAAAAAAATACATGCTATTATATTTTTAATGCAAAACTATATTTTTTAATTTGTTGTTAATACAAACAAACACATTAACAAATACATGCTGTTAAACTGTATTATATTTTTAATACAGTTTAGCATTAAAAAAATATTTTAAATTTTTAAACTTTTAATGCAAAAAATACATGTAGTTAAACTGTATTATCATTGTAAAAAAATCGTGGCATGTTATTACATTTTTAATGCAAAATTATATTTTTTAATTTGTTGTTAATGCAAAAATATATATTAACAAATACATGTTGTTAAACTGTATTATATTTCTAATGCAGTTTTGCATTAAAAATGTATTTTTAATTTTTAAAAATTTTAATGCAAAAGATACATGTTGTTAAACTGTATTATCATGAGGAATTAAAGTGAATATCATTGTAAAAAAATCATGGTATATTATGCTATTTTTAATGCAAAACTGTATTTTTTAATTTGTTGTTAATGCAAAAAAATACATTAACAAATACATGTTGTTAAACTGTATTATATTTTTAATGCAGTTTTGCATTAAAAAAGTATTTTAAATTTTTTAAATTTTTTAAATTTTTAATGCAAAAAATACATGTTGTTAAACTGTATTATCTTGAGGAATTAAAGTGAATATCATTGTAAAAAAATCGTGGCATGTATGATAATTATATTATATTGCAATTTTCAATTTTATTATTAAATTTTCAATGCAAAAAATGTATGTTCTTGATAAGTGAGTTGTAGCCATGTTTGGAGCTTGCATTTTTTATTATATTATCTTGCATATTTGTAATTGAGATTTACGACTATTTGTGATCATTTCAATCGAGTTGGATTGTGCCGACTATATCATTATAAATTTTATTTGTAGCATTGTGAATGATTATATCATTATAAATATTTTTTGTATCAAATATACGTGTAGTGGCATTATGGATGACTATATTAATGTAATTTTTTTCTTGATTCTAAGTGTGACTTATACAAACTTTTTTTTATCTATAATATTGCATAAATATTTTCTTTTTCTCTGTAGGAACTAATTCATGTTTGTTGAAATGAAGATTTGTGACAAGTCCATATGTATTAGCATTGTGAATTACTATACCATTGTAAATATATTTTTTATTGATACTATATCAATGTAAATTTATTGTTCTATATGTAGTGGCTGATACAAGATATTTTTATCTATAATGTTGCATAAATAAATTATTTTCCCAGTGGAAATTAAAATATTTTTGTCAATAGAAGTATTTGTATTAACAACAAATATAACTTCATGAACTACCCCTACATATTAGCACTACACATGGTGATTATTTTTCATGTTGAACTGTCAGGTTAATTTTTAACATTTTATATTTTTAAGTTGAACCATGGCAAGATCTGCGGAAGACCCTGCATGACAACACGGGGTCAAACTTGATCCCAACAAAAAAGACAAAATTATTTGTAATTACTGCCAAAGAGTGATAAGTAGTGGGGTACATAGGTCCAAGCAACACTTGGCAAGGGTTAAGGGAGATTTTTCTACGTGCAATAGTGTTCCTAATAATGTAAGAAAGCAGATGGCGGCATTTCTCAAAGCTACCAAAAGTAAAAAAATTGCAAAGCAGATGATGGATGAGGAGATAACTAGTTTATATACGCCATCAAGCGCGAATGATCCAGAAAAGCAATATAATAATGACTTGGAGATGACTACAAGAATGAGTTTACATGAAACATATCAGAGGAAACGCTGGTTTAGAATGCCTGGTGGTTATGACATGGGCATGCATGGTGGGCCCAGCTCAAACATGCATGGCGGGCCCAGTTCGAGCATGGATGGCGGGCCCAACTTAAATATGTATGGAGGGGTTGGTGGCAATATGTATTAACAGGAATCAGACGTTGAAAAAATTGTTTCTAGCTTACCTAGGAGTGCCAGTATTGCAGGTCATGGTCGTATAGACCCATTTCTCTCAAAGCCTAAGTCAAAACAGATAACCCTCAAAGGCATGGTGAAAGATACGAGAAACATGTTGAGCAGATATATAGGAAAATGGTTCTACAATAAAGGGATCCCCTTTGATGCAGTCAATAGCCCATATTTTCCACCTATTGTCAATGCAATCCAGAAAGCCGGGCCCGGGGTAAAACTCTCGACGGCATGTGAGCTCAGTGGGTCAATATTGGATGAAGAGGTGGAGGAAGTTAGAAAGTAGATTGAAGAATATAAATAGAGTTGGTCAAGAACAGACATTACTCTCATCAGTGATGGTTGGTTGAATAAAATTAACAAAAATGAGTTTATAAACTTCTTGGCCTATTCCCCAAAAGGTACAGCTTTTTTGTGTAGCAAATACATATAAGGGACGAAGAAGGATGCAAACTTCTACGTACGACTATATGATCAGATAGTGGATGAGGTGGGAGATAAGCATGTAGTTCAGTTTATTACGGACAATACGCGTGCATGTGTTTCTGCAGGCAGCAAGTTGATGGATAAGAGGAAGCATCTAGTATGGACCCCGTATGCAGCACACAACATCGATTTGATGTTAGAGGAGATCAGTGAGATCAAAATTATGAAGGAGATTCTACAGGAAGCGAGGTTGGTGTCCAGATTTGTATATAACAATTCTAAAATTTTATTTTTGTTCAGAGATCAGTCTAAGAAAAAAGAGATAATCAGGCCTGCCATAACCTGCTTTGTGACAGATTACGTGGCTGTGGACTCCATTCGAGAATCTGAAGGTGCAATAAAGAGATTGTTTACCAGTGAAAAGTGGTTAAATGACCGCCTTTCGAGGTCCAGTACCAGGCTAGAAGTGGACGGCATAGTCTCAAAGAGGAGGTTCTGATCTCGATGTTCCAGTATCGTAGAGGCCACTGCCCCTTTGGTCACGGTGTTAAAAATAGTGGATGCTGACAAAAAAGCTACCATTGGCATCCTTTATGAAGCTATCGAGATAGCTAAATCAGTTATTAGGGAGAAGTGTAGTTTTGCTAGTAAAGTGATCGAGCTTATAGAAAGAAGGTGGAACACCAAATTTGGATGCCCAATTTATTATGCAAGTAAATATATATTTATATCATTAGAATGTTTCATTGTAAATTATTTTTTTATGAAATTTTAAATGACATTTCTCTATCTATATATTTTCCAGGTTATTACTTCAACCCAAAATTTTTCTATTTGACACCTGAACATCCCCACAAGATTATGGAAGGGGTCAGATACATTATTGTCAGGTTGGAGAGAAGCCATCGAAACCAGGTAGCAGCAATACAAGATGTATTATTTAATATTTCGGTAAGAACTTGATTGAGTTGTTATATTTGTGAGGAATAATGCACTAAAACGAAATATTTTGTTTTAGCTTGCTATGTATATGGATGCTATAGGATCTTTCATAACTAAACTTGTCAGGAATTCTCGAACTAAGATGGATCCAGGTTATCCCCTAACTAATATTTTGTTCATTCATATATTTAATCTTATGAATTGTTCTTGCCCTTATAATGCTTTTTACATTTTAATCCAGTTGAATGGTGGGAGATATATGGTAGTGATGCACCTCACTTAAAAAAGCTAGCAATCAAGGTGCTCTCCCAAACATATTCTGCTACTGGCTGTGAGCAAAACTAGAGTACGTTCAAATGGTTGCACACTACTAGAAGGAATCGACTCGCTTCGAAAAAGTTTCATAAACTAGTCAACGTTCATTACAATTTAAATCTCCGAGAGCGACAAATAAGAAAGAAGCTTGAAGACTATGGGCCGATAGATTTGGAAACAATATTTGTCACAGACACGGCAAAACAATGGGTAGTAGAAGAAGAGGAGCCAGTGTTGTACAAGAAAGCGTAACTTGAGGCTATCGGTGAGGAAGATCTTGAAGAAAGTGATGAGCAGCATGAAAGAGGAAGCAGCCCGCCAACATATCCACAATTCGTCGGAGATATCGGTAATATTGCAGCTAATGAGGGAGAGTGGGAAGGGGGTCTAAAGGAAAATGAGAGAGATGATGATTCTGAGGCGACCCAATCCCAGCCAAATTATTCACATATCGAATCCCAACAACAAGAGGGTAGGGCTGAACACGATAGTGCAGATGAGCATGAAGGATGGACAAGCTTCGGGGATTTTGGATTAGGACCACAACAAAACACTAACACTCAGGGATTTGGGTATAATGAAGTGCCCACTAATTTAGATGATTCGTTTTTAGATCGAGTCAATGAATTGTCACGCGAATTCAGTCAATGGCACTAGCGTGACCAAGAT